GAAGTTCATGAGTGACAATGGAGGGGAATATGTTAACAAAAGTTTTGTTGACCTCTGTGAGAAATTCAACGTTCATATCATCACTACTGGAGCTGAAGCACCTTGGAGCAATGCCCTTGTAGAACGGCACCATGCCCTTTTGTCTAACAGTATGATAAAGATCATGGAAGATACTAAATGCTCAGTTGAAGTTGCTTTAGCATGGGCCTGTCATGCCAAGAACACTTTGGCAAATGTAAATGGTTTCTCGCCATATCAGTTAATCTTTGGCAAACATCCATCTCTCACTTCTATTGATGATCCCTATGCTAGTCCAACGATTGTTGAAGATGAGAGTCCAAGTGAAACTGTTGCCAAGAACATCTCTGCCATCTACAGTGCTCGAAAAAGAATGATGGAAAGCGAAGCTAGTGAGATGATCAGACGAGCCATTAGATCAAAAACTAGAGAAGTGTACACTGATGAGATACAGTCGGGTGATATGGTATACTACAAAAGAAATGATGATAAGCGATGGCGAGGACCAGGAACAGTTATAGGTGTGGACAAGAAAGTTGTAGTTGTAAGACATGGTGGGTATATTGTTCGATGCCACCGGATTCATGTTGTCAATGTAAATGAACTGTACTCAAAAGATGTTTCCGAAGTAAGTGGGACCGATCCACCAGATGAGCCTAATCCCACTGTTGAAGAATTTTACAATGCAACTCAAATGCTGAAAAATGATGTTCTGTTGAACGCTTTCGATATTGCTCCTGCTGAAGAGGATGATAATAATACTGTAAGCACAGATAATATACCACAAAGCAACGAAACTAATGTAGAGGAATCAATGTCTACAAAGGAGCAGAAGTTCTGCAAAGCTAAGTCAAAGTATGAGAAGAAGAAGGTCAGTATCGAAGTGTTAAACACTGACCCCTATAAGTCACAGAAGACTGACGAAATCGAAAAATGGAAGCAAAACAATGTGTATGAAGAGGTTGAGGCTCACGAAGTAGATAATCAGTTTGTCCCCATTTCGACAAGGTGGGTCACAAATGACAATGGTCATAAGAAAAAGGCCCGTTTGGTAGCTCGAGGTTTTGAGGAAATTCCTCTTGATAGTACCGAAAGAGTCAGTCCTACTTGTCGAAAAGAATCTCTAAGACTTCTATTCACAGTAGCAGCATCAATGAAGTGGCCTATTCATTCTCTTGATATAACCTCAGCATTTCTACAAGGTAAACCAATTGAGCGACTAGTTTATCTTACCCCTCCAAAGGAATGCTATAAACCAGGAATACTGTGGAAGCTGAACAAATGTGTTTATGGACTGTCAGATGCTGCAAAGATGTGGTACAGAAATGTAAAAGACCACAGTGAACAAGCTGGTTTAAGGAAATGTTTATATGATGATGCTCTGTTCTTTTCAAGAGTTGACAAAGAAGATCTTGCAGGAATAATGACTGTACATGTAGATGACTTCATCTATGCAGGGACCAAAGGTTTTGAGTCTAATATTCACAAAGATGTGCTGCATGGATTTGAGATTAAGTCACAGGAAGCATCGCGATTCACATATCTTGGACTTGAGGTGGAACAAGATCCAATCTCATATGAAATCACTGTTGGACAGTCAGATTATATCAGTGCTTTAAAGACCATAGGACTATCAAGTAACAGAAGAAGCCAGAAAACACATGCTCTGACTCACGAAGAGTATGTACAGTACAGATCAGGTGTTGGACAACTTATCTGGTTATCTGTCCAAACCAGACCAGATATTTCGTTTGATGCTTGTCAGTTGAGCAATAATCTGAAAGATCCCAACGTCTCAGACATAATGCTTCACAACAAGATAGTCAAAAAGCTTAAAACTGATGAAGATGCCCCACTGACCTTCAGAGAACTGCCTAACATAAAGAATGGAGTAAGACTACTTACATACAGTGATGCATCGTTTGGAAATCTTAGTAACAATGGTAGTCAGTGTGGGTATCTGATACTTATTTCGGATAAAGATGGTAGAGTCAAAAACCCTGTCTGTTGGAAATCTGTAAAGTTGGACAGAGTCTGTTACAGTACTTTAGCCGCTGAAAGCCTTGCACTCCTGAAAGCGGCTGATCACACCATTTTTATTCAGCAAACACTACAACAAATACTGGGAGATTCTTTAAATGTGACCATAGACTGTTTTATTGACAATAAAGGACTTCTAGAGCTTGTACAGAAGACAAAGGACCCCATTGAAAAAAGACTGATAGTTACCATGGCATCACTAAGGGAAATGGTTGAGAAGGGTGAAATAACTGTTAACTTTATGCCCTCAAGGACGATGCCTGCTGATGTTTTGACTAAGAGAGGGCCTAGTTCTCAAAGTCTGCGTATGTGTTTTGAGAGGGACTAGTATTTTTAAAGAGTGAACATCGAATTTATTTTTTATTTATGGATTTATCATTTATATTTTTAGCTTTTTCATACATTTTAATGTCATTTTTGTTTTGAGTCAGAATCTTTATTTTTTACTTTTGCAGATTAGTTTTTAAAATCAGTGCGTGTGAGTTTCATGGGATTTTTAAAGTGCAAACTAAGTTATTTGACTAGTTTTGCTATGTTTATAAAAATGTTTACTTAAAAAAAAAAAAAAAAAAAAAAAAAATAATAATAATAATAATTTAAAGACCGAAGTCCCGGCCAATAGCCTGGTTCCCCTGGGTTGTTGTAAAATGATAATATATAAATCCGAAGTCCCGGTCAGTAACCTGAACTGTGTTTAGGATAACTGAAAAAAAAAAAAAAGAAAAAAAAAAAAAAAAAATGAAAAGGGGATATATATTAGTCAGTTGAGACACCTGTTTAACCTCCCTCTGAAGTCCTCCTTTATGAGGCAGCCTTTTAGCCTGCATAACTCTTTGTGGAGCTGGTATTGATTTGTTTGTTTTGGTTCATTACCACTGGCTTTTAAGTTAGTTGAGAGGATTGCATAATCTATCCTCATATCACACCCATCTCATTTAATCATCATTCACATATGGCCATTTATACACAGAAGAAAGAAGATTTATAAAGATCTACAGAAGAAGCATTTCTAAACAGCTGCCAACGCCTAACGAATAAGTTCTCCTGCTACATGTTCTGGTATCCGTGAAGATCGCCTAATAAAGCCGGATACCGTGAAGAAACAGAAAGAAAAACTAAAAGAGGACTGATGTTAATCTTATATACCATTTACAGGATGGCAGAAACTCCAGGAGGCTTTGTCTGACTTGATTTGTATTCCTCGTTTGAAGTTTATGTTTCTATCATCCACTAGTGTTACTGTCTCACTTTATTGAATTAAAAAATTCAACGGACACTGGTCTTTTCAGGTAAATGTAACTGTCGAAGGTTCCATTCTCAAATTATTTGTTATATAGCACCGGGTATTGAAAGTATTATATAGCGTTAAAAACTTTCAACACTACTCCATAATATAACAAATAATTTTAGAACATGAATATGATGTAGTACATAATATGCATTTTTATTGATTTAAACAATCTACTTTTTTGACCTCATAAATTATTTCTCACAATATTACCATTGAAAAGGAGTAAGGCCAAGGATGCCGATCTACTATGAACTGGTATCCAACAATGAGCTAGCCCCCGACGAGAAATTTATGTTGGGTTTTAAGTATGATGTACAGAATGGAATAATAGAGGGAAGAATTCATTCTTGGTGCGTTTTAGCAAACACTCCTCATGGCACGATCCCAGCCAAGGCTATTGGTGACAAAGCTTGGTACACATACCAAGGAAAAGTGTACATGACAGCTGATTTCTCCTATCTGAAAGCAGACCCGAGTGCTAAGGTGACAGTACAGGAAGCTGATTCTCCACCTCTTGGAGCGATACACGGGGACCTACTAGATGGTAAACCCAGCTACATGGTGATCTGTCATACATCATCTGCTGACGAACCCGGCAAATCTGACGGTGTGATTTCTCAGTTTGGGTGGAAAGGTCTAGAATATGACGAAGAAGATTTTAGATATGTCTGTATCAGTGGGCCCTATTCGTTTGTGCAGTCCAGCGAAAATGAAGACCCTAAAAGTACCGATTTAATGCTTGGTAACGATAAGTGGGGGTATACAGAGGGACCTATGTGGTGTGTCATGACTCATAGTACCCATGGCTGGCTGCCAGGCTTGGCTAGCAGGAAGTGGGAAAATGCATGGTACACATACGGCCCGAAAGTATGTAAAACAACCGATTTCCATTTCATTCGCCCAGATGATGGTTATGAAGCAATGCTGAAAGCTGCTGATAGTTCTCCACCGAAACATGGTGTAGTTGTGGGACAAGGTAAGTATGATAACCAACCCATCTACTCGGTGGTTTGTCATGTTGATGGAGATGATATCCCTGGATTATACTCAGGTGGCGATGCAGCTTACTACCAGGTTGTCTACAAGTATAAACCTGGCGTATGTTGGGTGTATCCTGGTGGTACTAGCACAATGGAGGCTAAGAATTTCTCTTATGTCGTAGTTGTCGAGAGAGGCCCAGGTGCAAAAGAGGATGCAAACAAAGATAAACATTGTTCAGAAGACTAGTCTTTGCCCTCTTCAATCGTGTAGTTCATGAACGGCGTGAATGTACTAGAATATCTAATAAATTCCAATCCAACACATGGATTGAAAGATATAATTATAGATATGTTTACTGATAATGTTAACATTATCATAGTAATACATACATAGTACATATATTATTAGATGACAGATTTTTTTACAGTGTTTTAACAATTTTATTAATTTTTTAGAGTACAGGATTTATTATAATTACTTTTAGTTAAATAGTCTTTCTTTCAAAAAAGTTTTAAAAATCCAAAAAAATGTATCTCACTGAAGTGGTAATTATAAATAGTTATGATACCTAATTGGTATACCGGTTATAATTGTAGATAAACATATTTTCAAATCTGTAATCTGTTCATTATCTAGTTTCCATAATTATTGGATAAGACTTTTGATAGAATGTGACAGGATAGATTTAAAATGCCACAGATTTTGTTGTTCGCCAACATGATTAAATATTTATTTTGTGTTTAAGCAAATATTAATAGTTTTAAAATAATGTTTTAATCGCTTTTTTTCCTCTTCTCAAAACAATTCTTTTGGAATGACGTTTTTACTCTCAATACCATACTACTGCTTTTAAAATCTTTGTTTAAATGGTTTCGATTGGGCACCTCATTCATCGATTTGTGTTGTTCGATCTTTAGATCTTTGGAACGTGTTCATAGGAGAGCTGAGCTGATAAGTAAATATACATCTATTTGAATCATGAAGCACACGTTATTTACATAATAAATAAAGTGGGTAATCATAAATTGTGATGTTAACAATCCAATTGAGTAATAATAATATTCGGTATCAGAAACTATACCACTCTAGCCTGTACCCATTGCTTTCATACATTCATTTAGTGATCTGTCAAACCAATCTGCTTACAAATTGTTCTGTGTGATGCTTTCCACTACAATTCCGACTTGTTGAGTGTATTGTAAGGGCACTTAAAGCATGATCTCTTTTTTGACAGCTCGTGCATTCCCTTCCTCACCTCAACCTTTCCGTACTGCTTCTCAGCATACCGGTTAAAAAGTCTGTAAACATAACAGTAAACATCGCTCGGTTTTAGTTCAGTTCTGACAAAATGCCTGGCGTTCTCTGAGATGATGTGCGCCAAGTGGTCGTTTTCCTGGGCCCAGTTCAGGCGCTGTATCAGGTTGTTGAGGTTGTGGTTGAAGGGAACGTAGTGAACCCACGGTTCTATGTCTGCGTAGAAATGTTCGTAGAAGAATGAGTCCTGAAGTATTTTTGTGATTTATTTTTTATCAATTTTACAGTGTAAGTTTGTTTTAGCAGTTTAAAAGTATAAAAGTATGTAGTTAATTGATTATTCGAATTTTTTTTGTGAAAATGTTTTATAAAGCCGGCTAGTCAGGCATGATATTTTAATATTTTTAAACGATTGTTAATTTTTTAGAAAGATGGTATAATTATAGACGTAGATGATTTTAATCAACAAATTTTGAATTAATTATTGATTGCTTATAATTTTTAATGGAATTTAATACAGCAGGCGTGCCGGGAAAAATAATATAATTAGTAACTCAAATTTTTTATCTAGGTGTTTGTTTTATTGTTTCATGGCATTTTAAACTATACTAAATGATTTGTTAATATCCACACCACAACAATATCTAACCTGTTTGAAGACAACACTTGGTCCACCCAAGATAAAAGGCACTCTATAAGCCGACACCATACCATCCACCGTTATCTGGAACTTGTAGTCGAAGAACTCTCTGAAGGGTATCTTTGGAACAATGTCTCCATACATGGACGGAACATGCTTGAAGAATAGGGCTTGAGTCAGTTTAGCATCCACCTTTTTGGTGTATTGTGCCTATTTGTTACAGATTTGTTTCATGATGCGAATTATAGTACTCAATTAATTTCATATTATATGTTTATATTTTCGGTATCAAAAATTCGGCAGTCATAATGCTTAAAATATTTATCGTTTTTATTTGCAGACTTATAATATGCTGGATGCAACAATTATTATTTTCATTTAATACGTATTAAATGAAAATAATAATTGTACGGTTTTATCATTTTACTGTGGTGTTCAAATCGTATAATTTAAAAAAAAGGATTTTCGTCAGTATAAAACATGCAGTAATTTACAGTAATGTATATTTAATCTTTTGTACTTAAATAATATTTTGTTAAGTTACTGACCCCACTATCAAGGTATACAGAGAGAATGGAAACTGATGGATTTGTATTGGTTAAACCTTCAAGAAAACGCAGAATCAAATCAAAGAAGTGTCCAGTGTTACCAGTAAATAATGTTGATGATGAGTGGGATCATCCTCTGGATCTTACTAGTGTTATAAAGCAGGTCTTTACTGAGGGTGAGTGTTATTTTGCAGTTATTTTACAGTTATTTTACAGTTATTTTACAGTTATTTTACAGTTATTTTACAGTTATTTTACAGTTATTTTACAGTTATTTTGCAGTTATTTTGCAGTTATTTTGCATTTATTTTACAGTTATTTTACAGTTATTTTGCAGTTATTTTGCAGTTATTTTGCAGTTATTTTGCAGTTATTGTTTCTACCTTTAATGGGAAGTGCAAATCTAAAACTGAGATTGGAACTGAATAACCTGTCAAAAATGTAGCTTTAAATGTTAACATGTACAATGTACGTTTAGCTGTGTTAACATGTACAATGTACAATTAGCCAATGTTAACATGTACATGCTATTTCAGACTCTGTATTCTGTGATAAGATCAGTGAAGTGATATCAAGTCAAGATATTGAACAGATAGTATGCTATTGTATAGGAAGACTAAGTACGTGCAAGCTGGCTCAGTTTCAGTTTGCTGTTTTAGTAAACGTTCTACAAAAATCTCCCAAAATTAAAAAGTTTGTAATTTATTTTGTTATTTCTCAAATTTCTTATCAGCACTGTATCTTTTGTCTGATTCCAGTGATAATAAAGCAATAATAACTCATTAATTGATCAAAAGGTTGGTTAACAGATTTACAATGTGACTAGTGTTCTAGATGGTACGTCCCTAATGCTACATATTACTTTATCAGGTGTCTGGTATTTGACCCAGTACTGTCACAATCAGAGAGAACCTTCATTACTCAGTACATGGAGGTTTTACCAGAAAACGACATGTGTGGCAGACGAGTTGTGTGTAATACACTCTTTTATATGATACACTGTAGGTATTGTAGTACTGTATACTTACACATTATACATTAGTTGTAGTGTAGTAATTACTAGTCACGTCTGTGTGTACCTTCATGACTATTGTGTTGCAGCGTGCCCCACATGACATAATAGCCGTGCTAATTATCGTTTATAAAAGTCGTACACGTGGGCACTGGGCACAGGGCCATGATATTATTATTATGTATGATAAACTTTAATCCAGAAAATGTACCTTCAGTAAAAGGATGTACGATAACGTTTTGAAAAGTAACTGGGATCAGTTAAAGTACTGTACGCTAATTGGTAATTCGTTCCAGTCTTATCTGCTTAACTCCACTACGTCTTCATTGGTAAAACAGGTGAGCAAATCAGATTTAATCTTATCATATTAATTGTATTTTAATATGTATTATCTGTATTAGATTGAAAATTATGATATTATTGTGATATTAAAGTTTTTAGATATAAAGGATCGTTCACATATTAATAAGTTAATACTATTTATGCCCCCTCCACCACTCTGTTAGCCACTTTACACTATTGTGTAGAAATTAAAGGTACACAAACGGAAGGGAAATATGATTATGGCAATGTTAACTTTCAGATTCCCCATATTTACACATGCACAGAACATACCAAAGAAGACGAGTTACTCAAGTTCGTGAGCCATCATAACGTTTTTAACAATACTGTAATCATAGAGTTCTTATCTTCGGCTGATACTGATTCTGTTTTTGTGAACACTTTTCCTGCTGATATCTCTGAGGATGGCTTAGAGATACAGTGAAAAACCATTTTTATATAATATGCTGATGCTCGATATATACCAATGTTTTGGCGCCTTCTGGTAACATTTTTGTCACGTCTACCGAATGTTAACTTGGCCAGGCCATTGTACATTTTGCTAAACAATTTAATTTTTCGTTAAAAAATGGAAGTGAGGCCCTTTGGTGTTGCTCTGACACGCTTTATCAGCTCTGTCATCATTATTTATATGGAATGGGGATATGAAGGAGATTTTGTGTGTTATTTCTTTTCATGTATGAAATTGATCCTGAAAGCTAACTGCTAAAATTCATCACAAGATCGTGTCAGTGCATTGTATTCCTAAACATGATTATTGTAGATTGTTGAGTAAAAAGTCAATAATTACTGAATATAAAGCGTTCCAACAGTTCCTCTGTAATTAATATTAATAATGACCTTGGTTAACCAGTAACCACGAACGATCATTTTATTGTAGGTCGATGGTGAGGGACAGGCTGGACGAAATCTCATGATATTTTGCCTTAATCTGACTTCATGAACCATGGGTTCAGCTCACAGCAAAAAGGAGCATTCAATTTCAGATGAGGTATTTGTAAATGAGTCATTAAATAATATTAATGTTAATGAGGGATGTCTCAATTTAGACGAAGAACTCAACATTGCAGAGAGAATTTTCGAAGTCGAATATGAAAAGATAATTGACAGAATTTTTGTAACTCACGTGACTGTTGGAAGACAATGGTCCTGGCCTACAGTTGATTATGTTTATTTTGTGATTCTAAAGACGAATTGTGGAGTATTGATATCTCTCGAGAAGCAGCAAGATGGTACCTCTTCCATTGAGTTTAGGAGAAAATTATTTCGATCTTATGGATATGACTTTAAAGTTTACGATGTTATTGAAGACAGTAAATCCAGCTATCCCTTTAGTTGCTTGATAGACCGTTTAAAGGAAATGTTAATTACTTGCAGTGCTTTTAATGACAAAGACTTTGCAAAGATAATTTTTGATGAGATAAGCCAACCAGATAAGCCAAGCCATTTCAAATTAAATCCGCATCTTAACGTGGCTAAGAGTGTTTTCGGCTACAATTATAAAAGTATTGTTAACGGCACGACTGTAACTCATGTTTATGTCTACAAATGTCCACTAGAAGGCATATACAGAAGTTCAACTGCTTCTATAAGAGAACGAATTGGGAGACAGTGGACTTCAGTTGATTATCATGCTTTTGTGGTGCTGAAGACAAGTTGTGGTGTAAGTCTATCCCTCGAAAAGCAGCGAGACGGAATTTACATCGGGAGAAGCATAAGATGTGATGATGTGGTTGAAGGTATGCGACCATCTACTCGGAAAGGTCCTGTCGACCTTGAGATTGAAGATAGCTCTGACTATCCTTTCATACATTTGTTAGGTTATCTGGATGCAATTGTGGAGGATTGTAGCGATTACAGTGTAACAGATCAAAACTGCCAAGACTTTGCAAAGAGAATTTTCGATAAGATTGCTTTGACGAAAACTTGGAAATACACTCGACCAAAAGAGTATCTTTATAAAACAGTAATAATATTTGGAATGCAGTTCCTTATCATGTTTTTTTGGTCCTGAAGACATTTTGTGACAAATGTAAAATGTACATGTACTACCTTAATTTTTACAGATTTTTAGTTATATTTTTAAAATTTTTTTATAAGAATATTTTTTTAGTTTGGTTCGTTTAAAGATTTTATCCATGTTTTTAATTTTGATTATAAATTATTATCATAACTTATGTTATTCATTAATAAGTAAATTTTTTGAAGTTTTAGTGGACGTTAAATAGTACTTCATATCACGTTCTGTCACCGGGGTTGTTGGATTCTTTTTTACCTAATATGTTTATTGTTCATAATTTTTGATGATTCCGTAAATACGGCCAATTCAACGGACACTGGTCTTTTCAGGTAAATGTAACTGTCGAAGGTTCCATTCTCAAATTATTTGTTATATAGCACCGGGTGTTGAAAGTATTATATAGCGTTAAAAACTTTCAACACTACTATAATATAACAAATAATTTTAGAACATGAATATGATGTAGTACATAATATGCATTTTTATTGATTTAAACAATCTACTTTTTTGACCTCATAAATTATTTCTCACAATATTACCATTGAAAAGGAGTAAGGCCAAGGATGCCGATCTACTATGAACTGGTATCCAACAATGAGCTAGCCCCCGACGAGAAATTTATGTTGGGTTTTAAGTATGATGTACAGAATGGAATAATAGAGGGAAGAATTCATTCTTGGTGCGTTTTAGCAAACACTCCTCATGGCACGATCCCAGCCAAGGCTATTGGTGACAAAGCTTGGTACACATACCAAGGAAAAGTGTACATGACAGCTGATTTCTCCTATCTGAAAGCAGACCCGAGTGCTAAGGTGACAGTACAGCAAGCTGATTCTCCACCTCTTGGAGCGATACACGGGGACCTACTAGATGGTAAACCCAGCTACATGGTGATCTGTGATACATCATCTGCTGACGAACCCGGCAAATCTGACGGTGTGATTTCTCAGTTTGGGTGGAAAGGTCTAGAATATGACGAAGAAGATTTTAGATATGTCTGTATCAGTGGGCCCTATTCGTTTGTGCAGTCCAGCGAAAATGAAGACCCTAAAAGTACCGATTTAATGCTTGGTAACGATAAGTGGGGGTATACAGAGGGACCTATGTGGTGTGTCATGACTCATAGTACCCATGGCTGGCTGCCAGGCTTGGCTAGCAGGAAGTGGGAAAATGCATGGTACACATACGGCCCGAAAGTATGTAAAACAACCGATTTCCATTTCATTCGCCCAGATGATGGTTATGAAGCAATGCTGAAAGCTGCTGATAGTTCTCCACCGAAACATGGTGTAGTTGTGGGACAAGGTAAGTATGATAACCAACCCATCTACTCGGTGGTTTGTCATGTTGATGGAGATGATATCCCTGGATTATACTCAGGTGGCGATGCAGCTTACTACCAGGTTGTCTACAAGTATAAACCTGGCGTATGTTGGGTGTATCCTGGTGGTACTAGCACAATGGAGGCTAAGAATTTCTCTTATGTCGTAGTTGTCGAGAGAGGCCCAGGTGCAAAAGAGGATGCAAACAAAGATAAACATTGTTCAGAAGACTAGTCTTTGCCCTCTTCAATCGTGTAGTTCATGAACGGCGTGAATGTACTAGAATATCTAATAAATTCCAATCCAACACATGGATTGAAAGATATAATTATAGATATGTTTACTGATAATGTTAACATTATCATAGTAATACATACATAGTACATATATTATTAGATGACAGATTTTTTTACAGTGTTTTAACAATTTTATTAATTTTTTAGAGTACAGGATTTATTATTTACTTTTAGTTATAGTCTTTCTTTCAAAAAAGTTTTAAAAATCCAAAAAAATGTATCTCACTGAAGTGGTAATTATAAATAGTTATGGTACCTAATTGGTATACCGGTTATAATTGTAGATAAACATATTTTCAAATCTGTAATCTGTTCATTATCTAGTTTCCATAATTATTGGATAAGACTTTTGATAGAATGTGACAGGATAGATTTAAAATGCCACAGATTTTGTTGTTCGCCAACATGATTAAATATTTATTTTGTGTTTAAGCAAATATTAATAGTTTTAAAATAATGTTTTAATCGCTTTTTTTCCTCTTCTCAAAACAATTCTTTTGGAATGACGTTTTTACTCTCAATACCATACTACCTGCTTTTAAATCTTTATTTAAGTGGTTTCGATCGGGCACCTCATTCATCGATTTGTGTTGTTCGATCTTTAGATCTTTGGAAAGTGTTCATAGGAGAGCTGAGCTGATAAGTAAATGTATGTATGTCTATTTGAATCATGAAGCACACGTTATTTACATAATAAATAAAGTGGATAATCATAAATTGTGATGTTAACAATCCAATTGAGCAATAATTATATTCGGTATCAGAAAATATACCACTCTAGCCTGTACCCATTGCTTTCATACATTCATTTAGTGATCTGTCTAACCAATCTGCTTACAAATTGTTCTGTGTGATGCTTTCCACTACAATTCTGACTTGTTGAGCGTATTGTAAGGGCACTTAAAGCATGATCTCTTTTTTGACAGCTCGTGCATTCCCTTCCTCACCTCAACCTTTCCGTACTGCTTCTCAGCATACCGGTTAAAAAGTCTGTAAACATAACAGTAAACATCACTCGGTTTTAGTTCGGTTCTGACAAAATGCCTGGCGTTCTCTGAGATGATGTGAGCCAAGTGGTCGTTTTCCTGGGCCCAGTTTAGGCGCTGTATCAGGTTGTTGAGGTTGTGGTTGAAGGGAACGTAGTGAACCCACGGTTCTATGTCTGCGTAGAAATGTTCGTAGAAGAATGAGTCCTGAAGTATTTTTGTGATTTATTTTTTATCAATTTTACAGTGTAAGTTTGTTTTAGCAGTTTAAAAGCACTTAAAATAGTTAATTGATTATTCGAATTTTTATGAAAATGTTTTATTAAGCCAGCTATAATAATACAGGCATGATGTTTTAATATTTTTAAAATAATTAATAATTTTTTAGAAAGATGGTATAATAATTATGGACGAAGATGATTTTAATCAACAAAATATTTTGAATTAATTATTGATTGCTTATAATTTTTAATGGAATTTAATACAGCAGGCGTGCCGGGAAAAATAATATAATTATAACTCAAATTTTTTATCTAGATATTTGTTTTATTGTTTCATGGCATTTTAAACTATACTAAATGATTTGTTAATATCACACCACAACAATATCTAACCTGTTTGAAGACAACACTTGGTCCACCCAAGATAAAAGGCACTCTATAAGCCGACACCATACCATCCACCGTTATCTGGAACTTGTAGTCGAAGAACTCTCTGAAGGGTATCTTTGGAACAATGTCTCCATACATGGACGGAACATGCTTGAAGAAGAGGGCTTGAGTAAGTTTAGCATCCACTTTCTCGGGGTAACTCATGGACAGTCGTGCCAAGTCCAGCCTCTGCTCCCGTGAGTCTCTTCCTCTCCAGAAGCCTATCGGTATTTTGTCCTTCCACTCTGGTCCTATGTTCCCTTGTATGTTCTGGAGATCAATATCCGTTTTGTGCATGGATTTCAGCACAGCATCTGTTAGCTCGTAGCTGGGTAAGGCAATGTCTGCACTGTCTCGAGATCCTCCGAATGAGAGAATTGGCATTGGGTTCACTTTGCTCTTCTCGATGGGACCATCTCTGAGGTTAACAATGAATTCCATGTCAGGAAGGTTTACTTTAGCCATCAAGGAGAGTAGCATGTCGTCAAACTTCCTGTTTAGTCCAGTGTGTTCACCTGAGGTGTTAAGTGTGAGGTGTGTTTATTTTGAGTATTACAAGTATTTAATGCACATGTTTAATAATGTAGATCACCACAGCTACAGGATTCACGTGTCTTGCTTAAATACCAAATGTGTGTTATGCAGCAAATTGTGTGATTTGAGATTTACCTATCATTTTTGAATAAGCTCTGTTATCTAGAATAACGTAATGTCCCAGATGGTAGTGACTGTCAAATTTCTTGTGAGCCTGCGTTGCTAGATCCACCACAGAAATGTCTCTAAACTGATCAATATCCTGATCAATCTGGTGAAAGAAAATGTGTCAGTTATTGCTTTATTGAGAGCAACAAGCACGTCAAAAATACAAAACTAAAAACGTCATTTCGGCAAAAATTTACCGAAGAACTATAAAAACTATAAGCTATATAATAATACCTGAGAGTAGTTAGACTTGCACTGCATGGTCTCCACCCAGTCAGCAGTATCTGGCTCACTACAAGCACATCCCTCGTGAAACAGAGGTCCTGCAATCCGAAAAGGTGACCCTCTAACATGAGCTCCCGTCTTCAGCTTCACATCCACCGTCAAATCCCCCACTTCCTCGAACAACCTGATTCTGGCCAGATACACCCCACTCTGGCGGTCTATGACATCAGCCCAGGCTCGCACCTTGTGCTGTCCACCATCCTTACTGACTGACACCTTGAACACGTTACCCAGGGACACGGTGAAGTTGTGCCCGTCTGAGTCTACTGCTTGTATGTAGAAGTAACGTACAGGCATGTTGAACCCAGGGTTCAGTCCTGGTCCCCAGAACTTGGACTGATCAGGACAGAGCTTGCGAGTGGAGCCTCCTGCCTCTCCCAAGTGCATCTGAGGGTCGTTCATTCCCATGGTGTGGTCTAGTTTTATCTCTGTAGTTTGGAAGAGGGGCGCTAGACAGAGAAGGAGCAGAGGAGACATCATGGTTAAACTACCTGGTGCTAGAGAGAGAGAGCTGGATTAAATGTTATGGAATTATTAGTTTCTTTGCTGAAAACTTGTGTCTTGACGTATATGACAAATGGACAATTTCCGGGCAATGAATTTGCATTTTACTATTAAAACTCAATACCCAAACCACAATTTGCTTTGCAAAACTAAAGGGCAGCACCACAAAAACTTCAGAGGTCCTAAAATATCAAACAACTGAGTCAAATGACTTCATACAATTAGCACACACACAGAGAGAGAGAGGTGGCCGATAGAGAGAGAGAGAGTAAGGGAGAGGGAGGGACGCTCTTCAGTCTCCACACACGTTATCATGTACACACGCTTTCATGTGGTACAGATTGTATTCGTGTACATTCTACCTGATACGTCATCATTCTTACCTCATGAACCATCCATAGTGTGTTAATTAATAGGACCCAACCTTCTCGTGCGTAAAGTGTTTTGGCTTAGGCTCTTGATTCAGTAAAGTGATCAGAAATAATTAAATCCTATGTTGGTACATCCATGAAGCAAAGTGAAACTTTAATGCTGTTATTTAAGTTTTTATTTAATGTGGTAATATTAACAATAACATGTAAGTGTTTAGCAGAAGATGTGATGATGATTTGTCAGAGGCTGGTTCACACCCACCGACACCTCCAGACTCTAATCAGACTCAACAACAAACTCGCTGTCAGATGTATATCTCATTCCCTCCCCACTTTTAGTGGTATGTATTTTCACTGGCAAATCTGTAGGGAAATTGGGTGTTTAGCTATGGCTTTTATACAGTATATTATAATAAGAGGTGGCCTTAAATAGTGGGCACAGCTAGTCACCCACTTTCCCAATCTGTGTACAATTAACATAACACTGGATATTTTAGTTAGCTGATATTTTAGTTAGCTGATATTTTAGTTTACTGATATTTTAGTTAGCTGATAAATAAACGAAGATTATCGTTAATATCACATTTAGTAGATTAATTGTATTTATCATCATATTGTATTAATGTGCAATTGTGTAGTTAGCACTTTAGTAACATCCTGAACTTTCTACATTTCAGCTAAACCCGTCAAATCAAAAACTGTTAAGAAAAATGTGAACAAACCTGTGAATAAAGATACAGCTGATAGACGGATTTTACTTTTTAAACGGAATAAGAATTATTGGATGATCTTCAGGATATGTGGAGTCTCTATGTGGCTAGTGGGTAAGTTTTTAAGGGAGCAAACTTGGCAAATTGCCACATAGAGACTATAATACAGGGGGATCAGAAATTACCGCCCAACCGGAAAATTGTATACCGTATTTTGTACAATCGCTTAATGTAGAGAGTGTTGGTAATTGTTCTTTGTACACCGTACATATTGGTTTTCGTCAGTGACTATTTTTATATCATAGCTTTTTAGATGAAATAGTTGTTGCAATAACATTTAATACAACTGATACTGTTACCACATTGTAACAGTCC